TATCATAAGTCCTTTTAATGTAGATGAACTATGTCCCAATAATAAGCCTACTGTTCCTTGGGGAAGAGGTCCTTTTACTCCTGTGGGAATGATTTGAACTCCCATCTCTGGAGTTAATACTGCTCTGGCAGAGGTGCAGATGTCCAACCCTGCACTCCCTCGGGTTTGTCTGATGAGGGATTTAATGGACAATGTGTCCTGGGCACTACCCTGATGGTGTTGCTGGGTTCCTCCACTGCCCCATAGATTTGTGGTTGTGGGCCCCAGAGCATTGGGCCCCCCTGTCCGTTTTTTGGCAATGGAGCCTGATGCCTTTCTCCACGATATCGTGGATAAATACCTGGTCTTTGTCCGTTTTTTGATAAGGGAGTACCCTCTATGGTGGTTTGAGAACGGCATTCATTAGCCCAATGTCTCCCTCTATGGCATCGTGGGCAAATACCCGGTATTCTATTCCTTTGATACCTACTTTTGTTAAACCCTCCTCCTATGGGGCAATTGCTTTTAAAATGTCCTGTTTGTTCACAATCATAGCATGTTTTTGGCCTGGCATCTAAAGCCTGTTGTACTGCAGCTGCCAAGACTTGCCCTTGTTCATTAATATCTCTACATAATTTAATATATGTGTTTAAATCTTCATGTCTCCATGGTCTAATAACCTCTCTGCAGCAACGATTTGCTTGGTCATAAGCCAGTTGTTTTATTAATGGCATTGCTTGTTCTGTATCCCCCAAAATTTTGGCAGCCGTTTGAATTAGCCTATCTACAAAGTCAGCGTAAGGTTCATTAGCTCTCTGTATTACCTTAGATAGCTGACCTTGTAAATCTCCATGTCCTTGTAAAGTCTTCCATGCCCTAACTGCGTCTGCAGCAATTTGTGCATATATAGCAGGATCATATTCAATTTGTTGCCGTTGACCCACATAAGGTCCTTTTCCTAACAACATATCTAGATTTCTTTGAGGGTAACCGGCTGCTGCATTTTGCCTAGCTGTCTCCGCGCAAAATTCCTCATTGGCAACCTTCCATAACAAATATTGTCCTCCATTTAGTACAGATTTACACATGCTAGCCCAATCTGCTGGCGTCATGTCCAAGTTAGTAATGGACTCGACCATGCTTACCGTGAAGGGAGCTTGGGACCATAGGTTGTTACAGCCTCCTTTAACTGCTTCACTGTTTTAAAATCTAAAGCATGGTGAATTTGCTGCCCTCCTACCTGTTCAAGTACAGGGCATGCTAATCTTTGAGGTCCTGTCTCAGGATCCCATTTATCAACTACAGGGTTTGAGGGCCACTCAGCTGTCTCCATCGGTGGGGCTGTTGGTTGAATTACGCCCTCTTGTGATAAAATGGAGTTAGTAACAGCCTCCTGTTGTGGCCTTTTTCCTAACAACCCCTTTTCCTTTAAATTTTCTTCCTCTGTCTGACTAGCTCGAGAGACCTTCTCTTTTGCTTGATCTAAAATGTCTTTCTCCATGGTCTGAACCTCTAACAATTTACTTAACATCTTTTTGGTTTGTTTTTTACTAATTTCTAATCTACTATAAAGATAACGCAACCCAATAAGATAACACAAAACAAAACCAAAACTGAATGAAACAAAAACGGAATAAAAAATCGTTGTATCAATTTTCTCTTCCTCAGGGCCGACAAACTTCAAACCTTTAGTCAACCATTTTTTCCAGTTTGCCTGAGAAATTTCTAGGGATAGGCAGCTTGAAACAAAAACAAGATAAATCAAAACAAGAACGCACTTTTTTTTTTGAAATGGCCACCCATTCTTTGGCTCTTCCTCAGGGACGAGCAATTTCACTTACCTCCAAGCTTCAGAAGTTCCCCGCACGGGACGCCAAATGCCGCAGTCTGGCTGGGCACACAATCACGAGCCACCACACAGCTTGTAGATTCAAACAGCAACTCTTTATTCCCGAACTCACACCAGCTGTCTACAATCACGTTCTGGGGAAATCCACGTTCTCTGCCCAAATCCACCTCCACTGGGCTTCTATCTCCCAAAAAATACTGTCTGAATCCCGTGAGAACTCAAGGGGAACTCAGGCAGCAGGATACGCCCTATTCCCAGCAGGAATAATCTTAAACCTGGAACGCCCTAAACCCAATTATCCTAAACCGGGAACACCCTAATCCCGGATCCGCCCTGGTCCTTGAGCAAGGTCACCTAACTGCAATGTCACTGCAAAATGTCCTATTTCCACGAGTCCTTCCACTAAGCAACATGGGGTACGCTGGCAAGGAAATTGTCATACCTACTTGGCTAATGGCTCCCAGCACTAGGATTTGTTTGGTGTTATTAGTTTGCTTTGTTAATTTATGCTGTTTAACCTATGCTAACCAAAATGTTAGTCTATTATTTAGTTTGGTTTCCTTTGATAACCATAAGGGATTCTCCCCTACTCCTATTCCAACCATGGAGATCATGTAAAACATATGTCAAGACAATCCATTATAACCAAGAGGTGGTAAAACATATATTTAGGACCTGTCCTTCAGAGGAATGCAATGGATGGATGACTGTTTGGAAAGACAAAAGAGGTCCATTGGAAAGAAACTTGATTTAGGAGGTCACCAATCTTGGGGTGAAGGTAACTGGCCACCCCAGAGGATTATTGCCACTTATGCTACAGCTACCTGGGCACAAAATGGCAGTTGGAGCTATAGAACTCCTATGTACATGTTAAACAGAATTATTCACTTTCTAGCTATACTAAAAATTATTATTAATCAGACTGCCACAGCCTTTGACCTCCTAGCCACACAATAGACCAAATGTGAGTACCTAACTTTCAAAATTGCTTGGCATTAGATTACCTACTGGCTGAGGAAAAAGAAATATGTGGAGAATTCAAAAGCTCAGATTGTTGCATCCAAATGGATGACAATAGACAAACAGTTAAGAATATAGCCAACAACACAAGAGAACTAGCATATGTGCTAGTTCATACCTAGAAGGGCATTAAAACTTGGGTCCCAAACATGCTTTGGGGAGATGGTTTTCAACTCTTGGTAGATTTAAAAGCTTAACTGGTGTAGTGGGTATTCTGCTGTTAACCTCTTCATTGCTCCCATGTTTGGCTTCACTGTGCATTAAAACTATTGGGTCCACTATAGAAGTTGCTGTTGAAAGGATGACAACAACTAAGGTTTTGACATTATATAAGGCTTTAAGCCAAGATAATGGTAATGATGCTCTTAAATTTAAAGGATTAAATTATGGGGTGCATCATTAAAGGGGGGAATTCAAGTGGCACCCCCTTTCTCCACTGAAAACTCTTAACTGGGCCTCTCCAGAAATCTTCACCCATATTGAGCAAAAGAGTCTCTGTAAAAGAGTTCAATGTAGATAAACTTTCTCTTTTCATGTCACCCTACTTACTTGGCCACTGGCCGAGAAGATACCAGCATTCCAGGTGCTGGACCTCCCCTTACTAGTTTTTCACAAACATATCCAGTATAGTACTTTGAAGAAATGTGCAAACAAGGCTTCTGGCCTTAAGCTGAGCTTTAAAGAGATGTCTACATTTTTAAGATAAGTTACAAATGGGCTCCATGGTAACAGCTGGCAGGGGGAGGAAAGAAAGGGGAGAAGAAGCTCTCCCCTTCTCAAGTGTTGTCCTTGAAGAGTTAACTTGCCCAAAACAGTGAAAGAAAAAGCTGATTTTATGTGAACTTCAGCAGACTGTGAACTTCTGAGCCCCCCGCCTTACATGGTAGATATAAAACTCTGAAACTACCTGAACTCAGGGTTCAGGGGATTGATTGATTACAGCAAAAGCTGTGCCCTCTGAACCCGGCTGCAGCCAAATAAAACTGTTCCCTGCTATCTTCGGTGCCTTACATCATTTGTCCCTACAACACCATGAGCCAAATAAACTTCTTTCCTTAATAAGGTTACCCAGCCTTGGGCATTTAATTTTAGTGCAATGAAAAATGGATATATATACCCCAACTCTTGCATTTTCCCATGAAGAACAGCTCCAGATGTCACCCACACTCATGAGAAGGTGAACTGATGCCATGAACAATCAAAACTATTTGGAACTGATCATATCAACTAGTCCCTAAGAAATCAGGAACTAAACTGAATCATTTGGAGGGAACAGAGAACTCTCAGTCAGTAGTCCCCAACATGAAAGGCTAAGAGCCCCACTGCTTGCCCAGTGCATTAACTTTGTACACTCTGTGTTTCCAGGGGGCCTCATGTACCCTTGGGGATTGTACCATGGTGTGTGGGTCCTGACTATCACGACAGCTCTGGAAGGCATTAAGTCAGCTTCACCATAGTTTTGTGCCCAAATCAATGCCTTTGGCCAGGTAAAAAGGTTTATGTGGAAAAGTAGGAGGAAGCCACTGAGCCTTGTAAAATGAATCTTATGGTTAATGGGATTTATTTTCACAGGACTGCTAAAGGTCATAAGTGAGATCAGTATTATAGGCTGGTCTTGTTGTAGGGACAGACTAGGCAAGGCACCAAATATAGCAGGAAACTGTTTTATTTGGCTGCAGCCATTAGAGGGCACAGCTTTTGCTGTAATCAATTAATCCCATGAAACTCGAGTTCAGGTAGTTTCAGAATTTTATACCCAGCATGTAAGGGGAAGGGCTCAGAAGTTCACAGTCTGCAGAAGTTTACATAAAAGCAGCTTTTTCTCTCACTGTTTTGGGCAAGTTAACCCTTCAAGGACAACACCTGAGAAGGAGAGAGCTTCTTCTCCCCCTTTCTTTCCTCACCTTGCCAGCTGTTACCATGGAATCCAATTAATATCTTATCTTAAAAATGTAGACAGCTTTGTGAAGCCCAGATCAAGGCCAAAGGCCTTGTTTGCCCATTTCTACAAACTACTATACTGGATACATTTGTGAAAAACTAGTAAGGGGGTGTCCAGCACCTGGAGTGCTGGTATCTTCCTGGCCACTGGCCAAGTAAAACAGGGCAACATGAAAAATAGGAAGTTTATCTATATTGAATTCTTTTGCAGACTCTTTTTTTGACGGTCCCCAAATCAGCCATGATGGAGATTTCTGGAGAAGCCCAGGTAAGACTTTTCTGTGGAGAAAGGGGGTGCCACTACAGTCTCACCTAGCTGAATGAGGTCCTACTGATAGTAATTTTGCTTTAAAGATTCCTTGGCCAAGGGCTAAGAGAGTGAATTGTACAGAAAAAGAGTTAACTTCGCAGGCCTAACTACAGTTTCTTGGAATTCCCACTTAGAAAGTTGGCTGTTGGCTAGTGATTAGGAGCTTAGATTTTCACAATTAACATAAAGGAGTGTCTCATTAAGCCTAAATTATTTGTGCAATCCCCTTTAGGGATTCTAGAGTTTCAGTATGTGTCAGGCAGAGGGGTCTACATGACTGGCCCCCCTAGCCAAAACTCTGGGCAAAAAGGCTCTAAAGAAATTCCCAAGTTGCATCATTTTGAATGTGTTATCACTACTTGTGGCTGGGGAAATTATGCATGTCCTGTGTAACTCCAATGGGAGAGGACTCTGAAAGTTTGTGCTTGGTGCTCTCTGTACTTTGCTCCATGTGCTATTTTGCTTTTTGCTGATTTTGCTTGTAGTTGTTTGCTATAGTAAAACATACTCATAAATATGACTATGTGAGTACAAACCACTGTGAGAACAACTCAGCAGTGTGAAATCATTGAACTCAGAGGTGGTCTTGAAGACCCTCAGACAGAAAATGGCCTATTTCCAGACACATCCCATCTACAGCTTAGAAGTGTCCTTTGCTCATTACCACGTTGCCCTGTTAAACCAGGAACATAGAGTGAATCTTACCAGAGCAATGAGGAAAAGTGACACTGGGGTCTCAGGCAAATAATGTGTGTCACATACAAAGGACAGAGGATAAATCTGTGCCTATTCAGGAAATCAAATATAATGATAAATTAAATATTAATAAATGAAGGTCATACATCACCTTGGTAGAACACTGGGCAGCAACTTAACTTACAAATAAATAGACTATATAGCAATATGGAAAATGGGCACACAAAATATTGATCAGAATAAGGCATGAAGAAGCTGACATCAAATCAGGCAATGTGTTTGGTTATTTTTACAGATATTTTGAAAATTATGCCTCATGACACATCTGTGAGAGTAGTAATTATCATTTCATGTGACAGCAAGAGATATCAGAATTTAGAGAAGTTAATGATATATTGAAGGTAACACAGATAATGAACAACAGAGTCAAGATTTTAAACACAGCCCAGAGGGGCTGAGTTCCTGTGGATCAAAGTCATCAGTGAAACCCCAGGATAGAGTTTACTTTCCAAATAGTGAATTTCCTAATTTTTGCAATCTGGACAGGCTGAAAATTTCCCAAACTGGGCTGGGGTTTTGGCTCAGCAGTAGAGCATTTGCCTAGCATGGGCAAAGCCCTGGATTCGATCCCCAACACCACATAAGAATAAATAAATAAAGATATTGTGTCCAACTACAACTAAAAAATAAATATTAAAAAAAATTCCCAAACCATCAAATACTGATTCTGATTCTTCCTCCCCTCGTCCTCCTCCTTCTCCTTTTTATTCTTCTTCTTCTGCTTAATAGATTTTCCTTTACTTAATCTTTTTTTAAATCTTGATTTTCACTATAAACAAGAAGAAATGAGGCTGCATCTTCAACATTTCAGTTGGAACTCTCCTCAGCCAAAAATCCAAGTTTATCATTTCAAGTTCTGCCTCCCATACAACTAGAGGACACAATTCAGCTAAGATTTTTGCTTGTATGTAGGTTCCCCTTCTAAGGAATGATTCCCTTTACTCCAGCTTCCAAAAACATGTTCCTCATTTGTTCTGAGCCCTTATATTTTTTGTTTGTTTGGCTGGGGTTGTGGCTTGGTGGTAGAGCGCTCGCCTAGCATGTGCAAGGCCCTGGGTTCAGTCCTCAGCACCACATAAAAAATAAATAAATTAAATAAAGGTATTCTGTCCAACTACAATTAAAAAATAAATATTAAAAAAAAAGAAAAAAAAAACAAGGCCAGGGATCCACCCAGGACCTCATGCATGCTAGGCAAACACTTTCCCTCTGAAATAAACCCCCAGCCCTCAGCTGTGTTTTTAGTGTTGATGTTTCTACCAATAGTCTGCTTATGGTGACTTATTTATGCCCTAGGCAATACAGGCTTTCTCTACTGCTTCTCACTCCTCTTGAACCCTCCCAGGCAGAGTCTGTAACATTCATATTTCTACTAATAGTCTGTACAATGTAATTTAGGCTTTTTCTATTAAGGGCTTCAAATCTTTTCCAGCCTTTCCTCATCACCCAATTCCATACTTATATATAAGGGTTTGTTGATTTGTTTTTACAGCAGTAGCCCATTTTCTGTTGATAAAATATGTGTTACTTCTCTGTAGCTGGCACGATAAATTACCACACACTTGGTGGCCTAAAATAACATAAGTTTATAATCTTAACAATTTTCGGGACCAGAAATCTAATTTACTTCACTGGTGTCATCAGGGTCACTTGCTTTCCAGAGGCTATAGGGAAGCATTGGTTTTCTGACTTTTTCCAGTTTTTTGAGTTGCATTCCTTGGTTATAGCACCTTCCTCCATTTTCAAAACCAGCAATGTAGCATCTTCTAAACTCTCTCTGCTTCCATCTTCTTCTGTCTTATGTGTCAAATTTCCCTCTGATTCCTTTTTATGAGGACACTTACAGCCTGGCATGGTGGAGCATACATAATCCCAGTGATTCCAGAGGCTGAGGCAGGAGGATAGCAAGTTTGAGGCCAGCCTCAGCAGCTAAGCAAATTTAATGAGACCCTCAAAATTAAAAATAAATAAATAAATAAGTCTGAGGATGTAGCTCAGTGGTAGAGCACCCCAGAATTCAATCCTCAATACTGGAAAGAAAAAAAAAAACACTTGTGACTGAATTTAGGGCTCAATTAGATAATCTAGGATTTCATCTTTATCTCAATATCCTTAACTAAATCACTTCTGTAAAGTCTCTTTAGGTGTAAAGGCAATATTCACAGGTTCCAGGGTGTTATGCTTTGGATATGAGGTATCCCCCCAAAGCTCCTATGTTAATGTAGGAATGTTTGGAGATGAAATGATTGCATTGTGAGAACTGCAACCTAATCAGCCTACCTGGGTGTGAATGGTCTGAGCAGTAATTGTAGGCAGGTGGGGAGTGACTGGAGAAGGTGGGTCACTGAGCTGAGCAGCTTCTCCCTGTTCACCAGGCCCTTCAGCCATGGTCTGCCTTGCCCCTGGCCTGAAGCAATGGAACTGGCCCAGATGGACTAAACATCTGAAACCATGAGCCCAAATAAAGTTTTCCTCCTCTAAAATTGTTGTTGTCAGGTATTTTGATCATATCAACACAAAGCTAACACAGGGGATTAGGACCTGGATATCTATTCAATCTATTACAGGGAGGAGATGTCCCTCCCTCTGATGTGTTTTGAATTTGTCCCCCACAAAGAATGTGTTTAAAAACTTAATCCCTGATGGAAGAACACTGATAGGTTGGGCCTGATGGGAGGTATTTGGGTCATGAAGACACAACCCTTAAGAATGAATTAATACTAATACTAGAAGAACTTGAAGCTATGACTTCAACTTCTTGCGCTTGCACACACTCTCTTGTTCTCTCTCTCTCTCTCTCCTCTCTCTTTCTTTGACCTTCCACTTTTGTCATAGGATGATACACCTGAAGGCCCTTGACAGATGCCTATCCCTAGATCTTCTCAGTCACTGAAACTGTGAACCAATAATTTGTTACACAGTTGGTAGCATTTTGTTATAGCTGCACAAGACAGACTAAGACATCTTGCTTACATTAGTAGGGTGCTGTGCCAGCTTCTTCTAGAATCCATGTCTTTCCCTGCATCACTCTTCAACAATTGTTCATAGCAAAGATGTGTAATTGTCACATCACCTTCCCCTGCCACACACCACTGCCTTTGAATTTAAGGTCTAGATTTTAGCATTCCCTCCCCTTCGCCCTTCTCTTCTCTTTCTGGCTTAGCTAAGGCTTTTCCTTCTCCCCAGTCTCTCCAGAGGTGAGGGAACAGCCAGCAGTTGGCCACAAGAGACCACCTCAGGCTGCTGGCTTCAGAGATTTCTGGAGTTTGGGGCCTCAGAACCAAGTTGCAGGGGGCAAGGGGCAGGTGATTGATGCATAGATGTTGATAACCTTGCAATGAAGCCATGTGACTCCTGATAAACAGGAGAAAAAATGTGTTTAAGAAGGAAGACAAGGATAAGGCAAGAGGATTTTTAGGTCAAGACTCAAGATTTATAGTGGGGAAAGAAGGCAATAGAGGGGAAGAGGTTGAAGGTAGAGGAATGTTAATGGTTTGAATCTTGAATGTCCCCCAAAGTCTCATTTGTTCAGAATGATTGAGTCATGAGGACTCTAATCTCTTCAGTGGATTAATCAATCCATTGATGGCTAAATGGACTATTGAGAGGTAGGACCTAGTCGAAAGAAATAGCCTATTGGGGGCATGTTCTGGAAGGGTTTCTTTCTGACCCCTACTTCTCTTTCCCTCTTCCTCCTAGGTCTCACAAGCCGAGCTTTCCTCCACTACACACTTCCACCATTGTGGTAAGCCATTCTTATAGACCGTGGCCGCCATTAGAAGATGGCGCCGGCTTCCACTGTGGCCTGTGATAAACAACTCCTTTTTTGGAGAGTTGGCGCGCAATCCCTTACCACCCCATGAGAGAGATCCACGTGGCAGCTTGGGATTGGTATGCGGGAGGCTTTATTAGGCTGTGCTTGGGCGCTCGGGGGGGGGGGTCACTAGAAGATGATACTTGAATCAAGGCCTGAATAAACTGCTGAAAGAAGAATCCTGTGTCGTGTTTTCCCTTGCCGGCGAGGGGTCGCGACAATTGGTGGCCCGTACGGGGAATTATATTCCTCGAACCCAGGATCCAGAACTTTCAGCAGTCAGGGTGGTGCACCGGTAAGTTCCCAGGTAAAGTGGGAATCCGCAAGCAAATAGCGGGGCGCTCTCTCTGTAAATAGAGAGAGAGCGGGAAAAAGGGACGCTCCCCTGTAAAAGGAAGAGAGCGGGGACTTTTGTACTTTCACTTTCTTTATAGCTCTAAAAACATTATGGGCATTGCTTCTTCAGGCCCAATTTTGTTGGCCCTAGATGGGTTGTTACATTCAAAAGGACTTAAGATAAAGCAGAGTACTTTGCAGATGTTTTTAAGAGAAGCTGATATAGCGGCTCCTTGGTTTGCTTTTTCAGGGAGTCTTACGATTCCTAGCTGGGACAAATTAGGGAAAGATCTAGATTTCGCTCGTGAGCAAGGCACCTTAGAGGGTGGCGTTATACCACTTTGGAAGTTAGTTAGAGGATGTATAACAGATGGTAAATGCCAGGAAGCTGTGAGTGAGGGTCAAGCTATTCTTGAGCAACTGCATGAGGAAAAATCTGAAGGATCATGTAGTGAAGTGGCAGAAAGTATTAAAAGTAACAGTAGTGAGAAGGCAAAAGAGCCTGAAGATAAAAATAGGAGAAGGCTCTACCCAGACTTGACCGAATTAAAAACGCCTGAGAACACAAGCGACTCAGAGAGTTCTGAGGACCTTGATATATTGTTACAACAACTACATAAGATAAAAATGAAAAAGAAGAAAAAGGAGACACAGGGCATGCAGGCCTACTGTAAGAAGGGGAAGGGAGTTAACATCGGTCAACAAAACTCTGAGGAGGAGGAGGTAGAATCTCTAGAAGAAGATATGGTGCCGATTGCCCCACCTCCGTATGTGGGGGGGAGCCAAGGTTCCGGGAGATCTTTTCATGCACAAGTTTGGAGGACAGTTAATATAGATATGGGACTTGCATACCCTGTATTTCAGGACAATAACAGGGGAAGATATCATGAGCCTTTAGACTTTAAGATAATTAAAACCTTGGCAGAATCTGTCCGCACTTATGGCATAGATGCCGCTTTCACTCTCACTCAGGTGGAGGGACTTACTAGATTTTGCATGACTCCCTCAGACTGGGCTAGTCTAGTCCGCGCTTGTGTTTCCCCAGGGAAATATTAGGAGTCCAAAGTTGGCTGTTTAATGTTTCTGGCAGTACCCAAGACTCGGAGCGAGGTAGGAGACTTAAAATTACTTCACACAATTCACAATTGTTTAATGCTACATTACCCTCCGCAGCAGTCTGTCTCCAATCTCCATTCCTGTTTCTTTTGGCTAATGTTACATTACAGGGGATGCTTAATTGTTCTAATATTACCTGTTACTTGTCTGAGTGTTGGAATGGATCCTGGCCTATGGCAGTGGTTATGAAAATTCCAACTTTTGTCTCGATCCCGATTACTGCGGATCCAGAGTCATTTCCTATTGTTGAACTGATTAGAGCCCGTAGAGATTTTGGAATTACGGCAGCTATAGTGACAGCTGTGGCAGTGTCTGCTGCTGCAGCAGTTACAGCTGGAGTAGCCATGGCCAGCCAAGTACAAACTGCTGCCACTATTAATCAGGTTATTCAACAAACATCCACCATACTTGAATCTCAAAGTAGAATTAATCAATATATTTTATCTGGGATTCTGGCTGCTAATCAAAGGATAGATCTGCTTCAAGCTTAAGTTGAGGAATTGTCTGATCTAGTACATTTGGGTTGTGTTGATCAACGTGCACATTTATGTATAACCTCTGTCAGATTTTATGATTCCAGAAATGCCTCCCACATCATCGGGGAGTATCTATCTGGAACCTGGTCCATGGAAGCAGAAAACTTGATCCAGTCTCAACTAACTCAGATTGCTGTTTTGAATAGCACCCGTGTCGAACCAGTGACTTTGGGTCAATTCACCAGTTGGCTATCCTCTGCCTTTTCCTTTTTTAAGGAATGGGTGGGAGTGGGCATTTTTGGTGCTATGTGTTGCTTCGGTGTTGTACTTTGTTTGTGGCTTCTCTGTCGCCTTAAAACTCGCCATGCGCAAGAGAAGGCTATGATCATACAGGCTCTTGCGGCCTTAGAAAATGGCATTTCTCCACAAATCTGGCTTGCACATCTTAAACAGTGATTTCTGGGCATGGCCATTGCACCCCAAGTTAGTTTCACATTGCACTGGGATTGGCATGTCCTCTTCCTTATTCTCTCCCAGTGCTGAATAGCCCTTGCACTCTGCAGGTCTTGTTACCATTGCACGCAGATGGGTTTCAGGACTGGTCTTTCTTCTCGGCTACAGACTCTTTACCTTCCTCTGGGGTTTAGGGATTGTGTTGCCAACTTAAATTTTGTCATTACTACCAGGCTACTTGTGTTATCCTACTTCTCGCCGTCGTCACGATGCAGGATGCGAGGCAAGGCACCGCACTTGAGTGATCCCTCAACGGACCTCAAGGAAAGCATGTCCTATTGCATGCGGGTTTGACATCCACGTCCTGCCCTACGAAAAAAGGCGTCGGCTGATATGGGACCAGGTCTAGGGAAGGGCCCTCCTTAGGACTGAACCATACATTGCAGCCACTTCTGCACAGTGGGATAGGACCTCTACTTTCGCCTGCATTGTTTTATAAAATAGAAGGGGGAACTGTGGTAAGCCATTCTTATAGACCGTGGCCGCCATTAGAAGATGGCGCCGGCTTCCACTGTGGCCTGTGGTAAACAACTCCTTTTATGGAGAGTTGGCGCGCAATCCCTGACCACCCTATGAGAGAGATCCACATGGCAGCTTGGGATTGGTATGCGGGAGGCTTTATTAGGCTGTGCCTGGGAGCTCGGGGGGGGGGGTCACTAGAAGATGATACTTGAATCAAGGCCTGAATAAACTGCTGAAAGAAGAATCCTGTGTCGTGTTTTCCCTTGCCGGCGAGGGGTCGCGACACACCGTGATGTTCTACTTCACCTCAGGCCCACAGCAATGGAATTAACCAACCATGGACTGAAATGTCTGAAACTGTGAGCCAACATAAACTTTTCCTCCTCAAGGTTGCTTTTGTTAGGTATTTTGGTCACAGCAACAAAAAGTTGACTAACCTAATGTTATAGTTGAAGCTTTGTCCCGGGGTTTCATACTGACTTCCAGGCCACTCATGTATAATCGAATCAAGCCTTTATTGAAGCACACCGGGGCAACTGTCCAGAACATAAAGCTGTTCCCATGATCAGCCTTGAACAATTGCAAGGGCACTCCTTATAAGCCTGAAAACCGCAAAAGGGATGTTCGGCGGGCTCTAGCCAATGCAAGCAAGCCAGGTTACAGAAGCAGGAGAGTGCAGTCAAGCAGCAGGAAGCCTAACCAATCACAGTTAGCCCAATCACTCCAGTTACAGAAACAGAGCCCCATTACCCTAGTTACAGAAACAATGCCCATTAGGTAGTTCCGTGTTCTTAAAGGTTTCTGTAGCAAAAGGAAAAGAACATCTTGCCCCAGTCATGACCCTTCTACTTGGCATGGTTGTTTTACAGAATGGAGTCACAAAACAAAATGGAGTCACATTTGTTTTTACTGTTACACTAAGAAGAGACAAGCTAAGTGGCCAAGTGAAGTCCTTGCCAAGGGTAGATGGCCAAGGGTAAAGCATAATTAGGCACCTGAGCCTGAAGGTGGGAGGCCCTATCACTGGGGACAGAGGCCAGAGGAATGCAGAGGCCCATCAGTGTATGAGCCAGGTCTGATTATGAGAAGTGACCATCCCAAGGAGAGCCTGCCTATCGGAATCTGCAGTGGACTAATGCAGGAAACTCTCAAAATCTTCTGGGACCAAATCAGGTCCTTTAGTAGATATAAACTTCTATTTGGCACAGTTACTCTTCCAACTTCCCTCCACACAAGACTGTGAACGTCTAGAGCGTTCGGGTCCCTGGGTAAGGGTCGCGAGATAACCAGGACACAGGGGATGCAGAGCCAAGGCAGCAATTGCAACTGCATGCTGAGGTTTATTTGCAAGTTCCTTTTATATTCTTCTTCTAACCAAGCAAGCAATTCTTCAATAACACTTTACCCACATTGTCCAAATATCATGCCTCAGCGGATACACAGAGCTAGATTCAGACTGTTCCTTTTCATTTGATAGGTACCCTCTTAAAGTTCTTTGTAGACATTATCTAATCCCCTGAGGATGCATTTGTTTCTTTAGAATGTACTGTTCCCAGGATAAGTATGCAGGAAGCTTCTTCCTCTTGGCCGAACCATGCAGAACTTGTGCCTTGAGATAAGGGGAAGAGAACTTTTCCTCCTCCTGAGGTTAGCCTCAGTTGACCTAAATCACAGCCACAGCTCTTGAAAAAAGTCAGGCCTGAGGGAGCTAAACTCTGCACACTTAAACCCCAACACAAGACGAATCCTTAGCCATTAGAGCTTCTGAAGCTTCACCTGGAAGTTTTTTTTGTGTTTGTCAGAATTCTTTTCTGTGGAAATTCAATACCAACTGGTTTAGACTCAAAAAAGAACACCCCCCCCCAAAAAAAAAAAAGAAAAACATTGGATTTCCTGCAAACATTCAATCCTAGGAGAGGAGAGGTATACAGGCCACTGGAAGAACTGCAGTCAGAACCTTCTCCTCACTCCCAAGTTTCTTTTTCTGTGTGTCAGCTTCTCCCTCCGGGACCAGCCTGCTCAGTGAATTCTGGAAATGTCACTGGAGGCCACCCCAGCCCACAGTTATCTCTCCAAAGGGACTGCCTTTCTCCTGAGTTCCAATTTCAAAACTCCTGGGTAAATCAGGCAATATAGTGTTCACCTGTAGTCCCAGCTATTTGGAAGGCTGAAACAGAGTCTAGTCTGAGAGCATAGGGAGATCAGGATCTCAAAAAGAAACAAACAAATAAAAAACCCCAACTCCCAGGGAAGTGTTCTGATCCCCCATTTGGGTCACTGACCAGAGGGGAAAAGATACTCAGAAAGAATCAGCCAGAATCAGTGCCCAGCCGGGTACTATCACTGTGGCCCCTGGGAAGATGGGAGGATGGGGTGAGGAGAGTCAGAGGAAGGAGGATGTTCCTGTGCAGTCATTCCAGCCTGTCCCCCGCTTCTTGGTCTTCCTGACCCCATCCTGTCCGCGCTCCAGCTTTCTGAGCACAGCTGCTCTGCTGAGGAACCATGGAAAGTAGAAAGTTCTTCCGTAAGGCAAGGTTCCCACCAGGCTGGGACACACCTGCACAGGTGATCCCCGAATGAATAGGCTTTAGATCCCTTCCAGCGACACCTGACAGCTGGGAGTGAAAGAACTCCTCCCCCCACCCACCCTTGCCTCCATTCTTCCATTAGTTGTGGAATCCAGAAACAAAATTCTGAAAGTAACCTCTAAAATCTGGGCCCTGGAGATTTTCCAGGAGGACAGAGCCCGCCCATTTCCATTTCCAGGGTAGGGTGAGGTTAGCAACTGGGGTTGGGTCCCTGGTACTCGGGGTGGGGGAAATAAGGCCGCTACTCTCTATCCAAAGCCTTGCTGTCCCCCAGCGCACGCCCACCACGTCACTGCACAGCATCCCCAAGGCGAAACTCCCTCCGACGTGGGCCTTCCCTTCCTAGCCTGGCGCCCAGAATGGGTCCTCTTCAGGAATCTGGTGGCGGAGCGGGATCAAGCGGGCGGGGATATGACAGACCTGACACAGAATCGGGGCGAGCGTAGACACCTGCCTGGGTGGAGCGGGATGCGCCCTCACTGACAAAAGGGGCGGAGTCTGGGCCCTTATATGTCGGGGGCCACCCGGAGTCTACCTGTCCTGCTGCTCCAGAACACTGTCTCCGCTTTCCTTGCTGTCATCGCTGTCCGCGCCAACCCCGCCATGGGTCTGAAGCTCTACCTGGACCTGCTGTCCCAGCCCTGCCGCGCTGTCTTCATCTTCGCAAAGAAGAACGGCATCCCCTTCCAGCTGCGCACGGTGCAGTTTCTCAAAGGTGGGCTCGGAGCGACTGTTAGCGTGTTGGCAGACCCGGTGCATCCACAGGCCCAAGGCTGGGCTCCTCCCTGAGCGCCCCCCTACCCTCCCAGTCTGTACAACAGCGGCTTCTCCTGCAGCGCCGCCTTCTACGGAGTGGCCTTAGACAGGTCACAAGCCTCTCTGAACTTTAGCTTGCTGCGCTGCAAAGGAGGAGGAGGAGGATACTTTCTCCTGTGTGGAGTGGGGAGAAAAATCACAGGGGGTTTCAGATTTCCTGTGTTGAAGGCACTCATTTAATCGTTGAGGCCTTGGAAGAGCTAAGCCACCCCACTGTGCTGCCCCTCCTGTTTACCCATCACCTCCCCCATCCCTGCTAAATAACTTTTCTTGACCCACCCACAGCACCTGGCTGTCCCTGGAAGGCAGAGAAGGGAGGCCATCCTTATTCCCAGGGCACTAGGCCCAACCTAGGAGGCCCAGAAAGGTGGGTGGGACTGATGGGCCCTCTGGCTGCAGCCCAGCCCCAGTAGGACCCTGGTTGGAGAGAAAGAGGGAGGGTAAGAGGTCCAATTTCTGCCCCAGCCCCAACAGGTTTTTTTTTTTAAACTTCTTCCTCAGGGCAGAACTGCAGCAAGGAGTTCTTGCAGATTAACAGCCTGCAGAAGCTGCCTGTGCTCAAAGATGGTGACTTCATCTTGACTGAAAGGTATCCTCCTTCCCTCTCTCCTAATTCCTGAGCCTTCCAGCCTCTCCCACCCCTCCTCCTGTGGGCTCTTGCAGACCCTGTGGGGCAGTGAGGGAAAAGGTTGGGGGAGAGCAGGATCTGTTACTAGGGACTGACCCACCCTGTCCCTGCTTCTGTCTATAGCCTCCTCTGCTGGTCCCTAGTGCTTCTCCATTCCCAGACTGAGGGGTATTGGAGAAGAGGTCAAGGAGACATTTGTCCACTGTTGGACAGAGAGTAGGTTCAACAAATGGAAGCTGAAAAGGATCTCTCCAGACTTTTCAGATATTCCCTGCCCCAGACTGCCCAAGCTGGCTCTGGAGACCAGTGCCAGGGCTTGAAGGCATAGCTCCTGGTGGGTTCTCCCATCATGCAGGAAGAGGACAAGAGGTCAGGAGACTTTGAAAGTAATGGCTGCTGAGCATGGTGGCACAGACCTGTAATCCCAGTGACTTGGGAGGCTGAGATCATGAGTTCAAAGCCAACCTCAGCAACTTAGTGAGGCCCTAAGCAACTCAGTGAGACCCTGTCTCAAAATAAGAAATAAAAAGCTTTGGGGATGTTGTTCAGTGGTTAAACACCCCTGGGTTCAATCCCTAGTACTTCCCCCACAAAAAAAAAAAAAAAGCAATGACTAAGGAACCTGACAAGGAAACCTAAGAATATGCTTTCCCTTCTGATCGCTGACCCATGCATGTGTGGACATTCAAAAGCATCCATGGAAGCCCACTGTGTCCCTGCTCCATGCAGGATTCCAGGGGACAAGAGAGTCAGTTTTCTGAGTTGTGAAGCTTTGGGACAATTACATTTAACTGTTTGGAGCATTAGTTTCCTCATATACAAAAGGGAGAACAAGAGCCTCTACCTTATAGGGCAGATGCTGAGATAAGCAGGAAGCAGCCCAGACTTGTCCCAGAGACAAGTCTTTGAAAGGACAAACAGGTCTGGCTGAGAGATGGAGGAAAACGCTAGGGGTGTAGCTCTGTGGTAAAGCATTTGCCTAGGCACAAGGCCCTGGGTTCAATCCCCAGCACTTAAAAAAAAGAGAGAGAGAGAGAGAGAGGAAGGAAGGGATTTTGAGGGCAGGGGTCAGGAAGAAAAGGAGAAATCAGAGAGGTGGGAATAGGGGAGAGTGAGGACAGAAGTATCCATCAAATGCAGAGAAGCCCCAAGGACCCACTGGGGGATGGAAGCACTGGGAGGTAAAGGTTCAGAGCCAGGGTCCTTACAGCCCCTCTTCCTATCCCTGTTACCAGCTCAGCCATCCTGATTTACTTGAGCTGTAAGTACCAGGTAGCAGACCATTGGTACCCATCTGACCTGCAGACCCGTTCCCAGATCCATGAGTACCTGGGCTGGCATGCAGACAACATCCGAAACATCTTTGGGGTGACCCTGTGGATCCGGGTGAGGAGAGCCATCTGGGGATAGTCCCCTTCAGGGACCTGGGAGGGGGAAGGGTCACGATTAAGCCCAACCTATTCCACATCAGGTGCTTGCACCACTTATTGGGACCCAGGTGCCTGAGGAGAAGGTGAAACGCAACAGGACCTATATGGACCATGCTCTGCAGCAACTGCAGTCCAAGTTCCTGGGGGATAAGCCCTTCCTTGTGGGACAGCAGGTGTCGCTGGCTGATCTCATGTTGCTGGAGGAGCTGATACAGGTAGGAGATAGGCCAGTAGAGCAGTGGCTATGGGCAGAACTCTTTCTATTGCCACTCCCACAAGTCAGAAATAATATGGCCTGGGGAAAGCCAGGATTTGCCCAGAATCACAGAGAGGGTCTCTGGCTAAACTAGGAACAGAGCTTGACCTTCTGCTTCCTGCTTAGTGGTGTTACTCTGGCTGCTTTCAGGCCCTGGGGTTCACTTCTCTGACCTGGGCCTCATGTAGAGGTTGGGGAAGGGATCATGTCCCTTACATCGGTGCTGTGTTCCCAGCTCTGGGTCCTCAGTATCTTCACAACTTTCCCATCCTTGTCCCCGCAGCCCGTGGCTCTTGGCTATGATGTGTTTGTGGGACGGCCACGACTTGCAGCCTGGCGTGGATGTATGGAAGCGTCCCTGGGTACTGAGCTGTGGCAGGAGGCCCATGGCCCCATCTTCAACATTCTGGAACAGATGACCAAAAAAACACTTCCTGTGCCCCCACCAGAGAGCCAAACAAATATGCTGTTTCGTATTTCTAAGATTCCTTGAGTGATCTGACTAGAATAAAGACTCATTCTGTTTCTTGCCCCTTTTTATCTTTTTCTTTTTGTTCTAGTCCCTTGTCTCTGGCTCCAGGAGGAGCTCTGCAGAGGCAGAACATCAGGTATGTTTGACAGGAATTCTCAGGTGCAGCATATATAACCAATAAGAGACTAAATCCACAATATATAAAGAGCTCCTAAAAATCAATTACATGAAGGAAAACAAAACCAAAAAAAAATTGGCAAACACCATCTGTGTTTTAAAAATAGTAAAGATTCTAGTGGGCATGATTGTGCCTGTAATCTCAGCTACTCTTAGAGACTGAGGTACAACATAGCCATATTCTATCTCAAAATAATTTTTTTAAAAAAAGGGAGGCTGAGAATATAACATCCTAGCAAGCAAAAGCCCTCGGTTTAATCCTCAGTACTAAAAAAAAAAGACTATGAATAAGAAACCAAGAATTATTGTTTTTATTACATTGTTCTATTATACATATGGGATAAAATTTTGTCCCAGTGACCCATATGATTAACTAAAGAAATCTCACAAATATCAAACACCATATAAAACTATTAGCAAGGCAACAAAATATTAAGTAGCCAATTAGAATTGCAGACTATTACAGGATGAATATGATGTTTCACAGGACATACTAGTTGTTTTTGAAGTCTAAGAAACTTGAAAGGTTTCTTTTAACAAGCACTAGTCTTCCAAGACAGTTTCACAGTAACAGCAAACAGTAGGATTCATACATGGTTACACAAACCTCCATGTGTATCACACCAGTTATTTTAACAGAGAGAATTCAATATAAAGAATTAGTATCCAGGGCTGGGACTGTAGCTCAATGGTAAAGTGCTTGCCTTGCATGTGTGAGGCACTGGATTCATTCCTCAGCACCACATATAAATAAATAAAAATTCTGTGTTTTCATCTACAACTAAAAAACATTTATTAAAAAGAATTCGTATCCAGGTATTAGTGAACCCTAAATACAGACAAACCAGATTATCACAGAGAGTATCACTGCAAGAAGCCCCGCCCTTGGTCCCCATTCCTAGGACTAGGAACCAAGGAAGGACATTGGAATCTTGAAAACCTAGGTGCTAGAGGAGGGGCTCCTGAGAACTCAGACTTCCAAGAATGGTAGTACTTAGACCCATGGTATCATCTCCTAAGGGTGCTCCAGCTTCTCAAGAGCTCTTCACAGGAAGCCATGTAGCTGATAGTGGATACATTCTGGTAGGTGATGGTAGATGTCACTGACAACTACGAATGGACTTCCTAACAACCTGCTTTTATGCTCTTCATTACCTATTGTGCTCCAAGCAGCAACCAAACTGTGGCTGTACTGCCCTGGGGGTGGCTGGTGTGTGGCAGCCCTTTTAGGCACTATTCTGGCTGCCTCTTCCTTTCAGAGATTCCTCGTACTTTTAGGGGCACCCTAACTTGCTCTTCTAGGCTTTTTCCTGCATCCCCCTGGGGTTGAGGATAAGTGGTGGCAGCCTGAACCTTTTTGATCCACCCTGTGTGCTTTTCAGTTGTTTACAATTGGATGATTTTACTTTTAACAGACACTCCAATAAAGAATAAAAAGTAAGCAATAAAGTTAATCAAGACTCCTAATGCAAAAACTTCCTTAACAAGACTCCCAAAGCACAAGAAATAAAATCAAGAATTAATAAATGGGATGGACTCAAACTAAAAAGCTTCTTCTCAGCAAAAGAAACAATCAATGAGGTGAACGGAGAGCTTACGTTTTGGAAGCAAATTTTTTGCCACACACAAATCAGATAGAGCACTAATCTCCAGAATATATAAAGAACTCAAAAAACATAATGTCCCTAAAACAAACAACCCAATCAATAAATGGGCTAAGGATCTGAACAGACACTTCTCAAAAGAAGATATATGTTCAATTAACAAATATACGAAAAAATATTCAACATCAACAGCAATTAGAGAAATGCAAATCAAAACTACTCTAAGATTTCCTTTCATTTCCTTTCATAGCTATCAGGAATACAGACAACAATAAATGTTGGCAAGATGTGGTGGGGGAAAGGCACACCCATACATTGCTGATGGGACTGCAAATTGGTGCAACCAATCTGGAAAGCAGTATGGAGATTCCTTAGAATCTTGGAACGGAAATGGGAGCTCATAACCCACTTGAATCAAATGTATGAAATATGATATGTCAAGAGCTCTGTAATGTTTTGAACAACTAATAAAAAAAGAAAAAAAAAGAATCTTGGAACGGAACCATCATTTGACCAGCTATCCCACTCCTCAGCCTATACCCAAAGGACTTAATATCAGCATACTATAGTAATACAGCCACATCAATGTTCATAGCAGCTCACTTCACAATAGCTAAACTGTGGAATCAACCCAGATGCCCTGCAATGGATGAATGGATAAAGAAACTGTGGTATATATACCCAATGGAATATTACTCAGCATTAAAAGAGAATAAAATCGTGTCATTTGCAGATAAATGGATGGAGTTTGAAAATATCATGCTAAGTGAAGCAAGTCATTTCCAAGAAAAGCCAAAGGTCGAATGTTCTCTCTGATAAGTGGATGCTGATCCATAACGGGGAGCAGAGAGGCATGGGAAAAATTCGTGCTGCTGCAGGAATGCTTGGAGCGGCAGCGCAGTGTCCATCCACTCCCCTGCCTGGGGTGCTTTCTGGCCTCCTGCCTGCCTCTGGCAGAGGTGATAGAATCCCTCTTTGGCTTTTTTTCAGATTCTGCAGCTGTCACCCTTCTCAGGTGCAGGTCAGGGTGATGTCCCTGCATCCTGTGCTATTGTCTCTGGAGACCTTATCACTGGTGCATCCATGTCCAACAGCCTATGACCGTTAGCTGTGATGAGAGGGATGACTGGTGGAATGACATGGGCAAGTGGAGTCTTTTTTAGGTAGAGAACAAACCCAGGAGGCCCATAACCCTATCCTGAGTCTCTGGGGCAGGTAGAGTCTCTGCAAAAGTTACATTAGGACTCCTCTTGAAGGAATAACAGACTTCTCTCTTGTCATCTGTCCTTGTCCATTCCCTCCATTGATTATTTTCTGTCTCTGATCTCACTCTCCACTGAATGAATGAATGAACAAAGGAATGGATGTTTCTCTGCTCTTTTCTTATCCCTATTTCCCCTTTTGCTTTCCTTTTTCTCTGGCTATTCTTTTCATCTCCCATTTCAGGGTGTGGCCCCAGATCCCTGATGGCAAATCTGGATGAGGAGCTGCCTGCATAGAGTAGATGCAGAGTAGATACATTGTGTCCCAGGGTATCAGGCCAAGGGTTTCTGGCACTCCTGGGCATGCCAGAACTGGGTCCAGTTTCCCATCACAAGTCTTGCTGGGAAACAGATGATTCTGCTGGACCTATCTAGTTTCAATTCCTGCCTGTCTGGGCTCCACATCGGCCAGTTCATGAAGGATGCTGGTTCCTAGGGGGCTGCCTGGCCCTGGGAAAGGGCCCATGTTTGTTGTGCTCCCAGTGACTCCTAGAGTGTACTGATGGCCCAGCCAGGGGTGCAAGATTTGGACGTATGTCTTGGTCTCTCACTCCCAAGAGCACCAACCATGGTCCCAGAACTTCTCACAGTGACCCTATAGACACTTTCAGAATGGCCAAGGGTTGCGTGGTGTCCACCCACCAAGATAAGCCATGTGCTGTTCCTGAAACCAGACATAGTATCAGCCCCATGCAAGCCACAAAACCTGTGAATGTGTGTTAGGGGCATGTCCCCCAAAGTTCTATCCACCGGAAAGTTTCAGTTCCTGTGAAAAGAGTAGGGAAAGCATTATAGTCCGCTCGTGTGGGCCAGGAAGGTGTGGCCAGAGGGTGGCTCCTGTTTCCTCAGGTTCCAGAGTGGGCCCCTACTTCCATTCCAAAGGCCAGGGAGGGGTGGTGGCTCAGTGGGTACTGGGTCACCAGCCCACTGGGTCTGGAGGAAGTAGGTTTCAGGGAGGAGCACAGAATACTGGACCAATTTTGGGAGAAGGGTACGGTCCAGAAGGGTGAGCAGTCAGGTCATGTACTGAGTCTCTCCTCCTCTCTGCCCACAAAAACAACACCTCTACCCTGGATTCCTAAAGGTGAACCCCCTGGGGAAGGTGCCCCCCCTCAGGGATGGTGACTTCCTGCTGACTGGGAGCTAATGGTGAGCTGGTACCCACTGTTGGGTGTGTGGGAGACTTCCCACTGAAGTTAAATTTCTGTCTCTGGAGAACATCACAGAATCCCTTACCCCTCCCGCTCCTCTCTGAAGGTCGCCAAATTCAAAAATTTTCTCCACCAATCCCCTTGGGACATAGTGTCCATTCCCCCATTCCTGAGTCACCCTGCCAGTCCTCACCTGCCACGTCACCTATGCAACCCTTCTTTAGCCAAAGCTTGCTAGCTCACACTCTCTGCCCTCTTTCTCTTCCTCTCTGCTCTCTTCCCTCTTCCTCTCTGCTCTCTGCTCTTTGCTCTCTGCTCTGTGCCCTCCTCCTCTCCTCTCTCTGCTCTCTGCCTCTCCTTTCTTCCCCTTCGGGCAGCCCCCCAATAAAATCTCTTGGTTGAATCTGTCTTGGATGAGTCACTCGCTTTTCACACTCATGAGCCAGCATCAGGCTCTGTCTCAGTTCTAGGGCTCAGGATGTTGGGAACAGGTAAAGGGGATAGAAGAAAGCTGATCACCCCTGGCCTGCAGATCTTTCCAAATTACTGGCAGCCTGCCCAGCTCAGAGACAAGGGCTAGACCCAGGGGCCACTTAAAGGTAAGAGCCGGGAGGCTGGAGCCTGGCTAGAGCCTGAGATGGCTAGAGCTGCAGGCTGGAGGGGGGCATAGGTCAACTAGCCAGATCTGGATAACTTGGAGCCAGTGGGCAAGTTGTGGGATGAAGGTTAGTGCTTCCCTGAATGTCCTCAGTATATCCTTTCAGAATCATAAAAGCTAGGCACTCCCAGGGTCAGATTGCACTTTGAATCCCAGCTCCCCACTTTCTGTTCTCTGTGTCCTTGGTCAGGTCAAA